CCTGCTGAAGGCAAGGGCAGAACCTTCCCAGGGGTTTCAAATCCTCACTGACGTGCAACTACAAACTGCCTGGAGTGGTTTCCATCCCAGCCTTGTAGCAGTGTGGGTTTTAAATAAGAGATGCTCACCCAGAGAGGAGGAAGGGACGAGTCATGACCGAGTGGCAGGCACAGGAGAAAACCAGAAACCCTCAAACCTGTCGCAGCACCAAGGGGTGGAAAGTCCTGCAGTCCCCCCAGGCTGCAGCACTGGGGAGCAGAAAGGTCTGTAGAGAGGGGGGGGAAGGACTGGGCAGTCCCCCTGGAGCCTGACCCCCCTTCTCCTGTGCTTTAGAACGAGGATGGGACGTACACAGGTTTCATTAAGGTGCATCTGAAGCTGCGCCGCCCCGTGACGGTGCCCGCGGGCATCCGGCCACAGTCCATCTACGATGCCCTCAAGGAGGTGAACCTGGCTGAGATGACAGACAAGAGAACCTCCTTCTACCTGCCGCTGGATGCCATCAAGCAGCTCCACATCAGCAGCACGACCACGGTGAGCGAGGTGATCCAGGGGCTCCTGAAGAAGTTCATGGTGGTGGATAACCCGCAGAAGTTTGCGCTCTTCAAGGAGATGCGGAAGGATGGGCAAGGTGAGTTCATGCCCTCGGGCCCACCAGGGGTCCTGTGGCTGCTCAGACCTGCTTGCTGCTTTGTGGGGCAGAAATGTACCCCGAGCATCCTGCTAGGACTCCGTGGTGTGTCAGGCAGTGCCCAAATTTCAGTGAATAAATGGCCAGACCTCCCCAGGAGGAGATAACAGGAATTACTAGTTTTCAGAAGGTGGCTGAAGCCCCCTAAGACCTGACAGAGATCACAGAGGTCTGTTAGAGACTCAGCTGCTTCCACTGTCATCCTGAGCAGCACAGAGTCATAGAATGGCTGAGTTTGGAAGGGACCCTGGAGATCACCCCATCCAACCTCCTCTCAACTAGACCAGGTTGCTCAAGGCTTTGAACACCTCCAGGGAGGGGCATCCACAGCCTCTCTGGGCAATCTAGTCCAGAGTCTCACCACCCTCAGACTGAAGAGCTACTTCCTAAGATTGAGTCTAAACCTGCTCTCCTTCAGTTTAAAACCATTTCCCCTTGTCCTGTCACTGACGCTCTTGTGACAAGTCCCTCTCCAGCCTCCCTGGAGGTTCCCTTCAGGGATTGGAAGCAGTTCTAAGGTCCCCCTGGAGTCTTCTCCTCTCCAGGCTGAACAATCCCAGTGCCTCATAGCAGAGATGCTCCAGCCCCTGGAGCATCTTTGTGGCCTCCTCTGGACTCGTTCCAACAGATCTCTGTCCCTTTGATGGTGGGGACACCAGAACTGGATGCAGCATTCGAGGTGGGGTCTCACAAGAGCAGAGTAAAGGGGGAGAATCATCTCTCTTGATCTGCTGCCCACACCCCTCTTGATGGGGGGGGGCATGAGCCACTTTTTCATGCTCCTCTTGCCCCCCTGAGCTTTCCTCTGCTCCTGCAGCCAAGATCTCACTGTGGGTGTCTGTGTCCCCTTGCAGTGCTCCTGCAGAAGCTGCCTCTCACCGAGTACCCCCTGTACCTCCGGCTGCTGGCCGGCCCCGACACAGACGTGCTCAGTTTTGTGCTGAAGGAAAACGAAACGGGGGAGGTTGAGGTAAGTCAGTGACTGTCCCCTGGCTTTGCCATGAACGTCACCAACGCTGTGCAGCACGGGGCAGAGCTGGGAGACCTGCAGCAGAGGCAGTGCCAACTGCTTCCCTCTGATGGGGCTGGGTTTGCCTTCTAAATAAGTGTGATGCTGTGTGGCACCAGCTTTTCTCCAGATTTGAATGGACTGCTTGTACTTAAAAGTTTGGGTCATTTGTTGCTCTTAAATGATGTTGATTTTTTTAAAGAAATTTAAACTCGAGCTGTGAAACTGCTGAGGCCAGTTTTGATGGCCAAACCCCATAATCTGTTTACAGATCCAGGCAACACCACCCCAGAGTTAATCCTCAATAATGAGATTAGCTGAACACTGTTAGGAGCAATCCCCTAATTAAAGTAGAAGTCAAGGACACTCGGGTAATCAGTTCAGCTCCTTCAGGCTGTAGCCCATTGTCCCATCCCTCTCGCAGCACGATGCTGTGAGGTTGAGGTACCTGGAGATCAGATTTGTGGTAGCCTTTGATGATTCCTCTTCACAGATTCGGGGGGAGAAGCCCACAGAAGCAGTGAGGTGAATGGTGTGTGCTTCTCTTTCTGCAGTGGGACGCGTTCTCCATCCCAGAGCTGCAGAACTTCCTGATGATCCTGGACAAAGAAGAAAAGGAAAAAATCCAGCAAGTGCAAAAGAAGTACGAGAAGTTTAAACAGAGACTGCAACAGACCTTGAAAGAAGCCCGGGGCAAGCCTGGATAACCCACGGGGGGCACTGGGCATCAGACTAAGCTAGAGACTGGTTTTAAAAGGAAAAGATGCTTCTCAGGACACGTTACAGCAACGTCCCTCCCCCTCTTCATCCTTCCCTTAAGGACTGGCCCACAGTGCCCCTAAAACGAACATACTGCCTGTTCTTCTTCAGAAACCTCCTCTCCCAGGACCAGACCAGCCAGAGGATGGGAACCCTGGCTTCAAACTGGGCCCCTCCACAAACCAAACGAGGCTGCTGGTTCTCTTTGCCCCTGCACCACCCCACGGAGGAGCTCAGTGAAACCCAGCAGGAACATCTGCCAGCTCCTGCTCCCAGCAGGGCGATGCTGCTGCTCCCTCCCCTCCCAGCATCCTGCTTCTCCTTGTTGGGAGGCACTGGGGCTCGTGGCCCATGCCCACGTGGCTGAGGTCCCATTTCAGGTCTCATTTTGTAAGCAGAGCAGAGGAAGCAGCAGACAGAGCAGGAGGAGGTGGTTGCACCAAACCACGTGGGTGTTGCAGCTGCAGCCAATGCTCACGGGGTTGGTTCAGGGCTCAGCTAGCCAAGGAAAGGTGAAGTTGTGACACCAAGGCAGCTGCAACACCCAAGCAGTTTGTTAGTAAGTATTCTTGAAACTTGGTAAGATTAATTCCAGGAAAAGTCGTCCATTTAGATTCTATTTAACTTGTGATTCTGAGAACAGATGTGAATGAGAGCAAACAGCCCTGATGCTGAGCAAAAATAGCCAGTGTTTTTTTACCTGTAGGAACTGGGAACTATGTTTTCAGAAGTTCTGTTTGAAAAGTGTGAAGCCAATGGCTGGGGCGTAGGCTGATGGTTGATACTGAGCATTTAGCAATAGAGATCCAACAATCCCAGGAAAGCTCAAAACTCCTGTGACAGATCAAACCGGTTTTGAGTCTGAGCAGGTCTGGCACCGAGGGAGCTCCAGCCAGGGTGTGGAGGTGGCACAGGGAGCACAGGGGTGGGAAAGCCTGGGCACCAGAAGGGCAAGGGACCCACTAGCCTCAGATGCTTTCCCTGCTCGCCCTCCATGTGCTGCCTCCCCCCTGGCACTCCATCCTCTGCCTCCCCGTGTGCCCTGGGCAGGTCCTGTCCTCCCTCCCTCTGCCATCGGTGCCCTGCCTGCGTGCCCAGGAAGGGTACCAGGGTTTGCTCTCTACGTGGAGCTAGGAGAGGACAGCAAGAGTCTCTCTCCCTCTCTCAGGGCTCCCACCACCTCCAGCACGTGCTCTGCACGTCCATCCCCAAACTCCTCAGGCTGGAGCACCAGTTACTGCCATACCCTGACCAGAGAGCCTGGTCTCACTGGCACCAGCACTGGTCACCCCAGGGAAGGCTCCAGGGATGCTGGGCTGAGAGAGGATGGCCCCAGGATTACTCTGGGTGCTCTGTACCACTGCACACAGCCAGGTTCAGTCTTCCCTCTGTTTACACAGGACACCAAACAAAGCATGAAGAGGAAAGGGGATGTTAACATCAGCCAGGCTCTGGTGGAGCGTGGGGAAGGGCTTCACGTGGGCTTGATCAAGTGTCCCCTCGAGCTCACTCTGGGCTGCTGTGATCCCACCAGCCTGAAGTGGGAAGGGAAGCAACAGGGTATTGGGTATCAGTTATCCCAGAGACAATGTGGATGAGTTGAAAATTTACCTCAGTGCCTTTTTTTTTTTTATTTTTTAAAATGTGTAAAAACTTTGGATTTGGGCTAAGGAGGAAGCTGGAAGGGGCTTTTGGCAGAGGACTTCTCAGTCCATTCCCCCCCAGTTCCTGTAGGACTGTTGTGATGAGGCTGCTTTTGTCCATAGAAGGACAAGGAACCGTTTTGGGGTTTTTTTGAAGGTGACTGGTTGGGATTTTTCTTTTCTTTTTTTTTCCTTTCCTGATTTATACTTGAGTATGCTTGTTTCCAAACTGTAAGAGAGTAACTGCCTCACTCAAAGCCCCTGGGTGTGTGTAACTGCCCCTCCCTGCCAGCCCCGTTGCAGGGTGGTGCAGGCAGTGGTGTGGCTTTGCTGGGAGGGCTGTGCACAGCCCCTGGCACACGGTGCAGGAAGGGCCTCCTGGCTCCACGGGACTCTACACCCAAATGACCTCTAACAGCGTGGCACCAGCTCAAAAAGAGCAGCAATTTTCATGCTCTGGGGCTGCCTGTCCATTTACAAGAATACTTATTGCTTCAGGACGTGCTCGTGAAGTAATTTAAGCGTTGATCTAGTGCACTGTATAAATACTTCAGAGAAGAGGAAGAACACTGTAAAATCTGCCATTGGTTCTGAGAAGTAAGACCTGGACGTGTGGTTTGCAGTCCCTTACCTTTCCAAGCAGAAGCTGTAAAGGTTTCATTTCTGTTGTTTTCTCCTGGAGTTTTGGCCACCATCTCCCCCCCAGCATGTCTTTGACATTTTGTACAAGGCATGGCTTATGCAATTACTGTGAATGCTGCTAAAACCTCCTGCAAGGGGAGGGCTCTTTCTTTTGGTGTTTGTTTTTTTTTTCAAGATAACGGGGCATTTGAAGAACTGGTAGATCCCAAAATTGGGCTTCTCAAGGCTGAGTTGAGCTGTGTCTAGGGTAGAAGTGTTGTCCCCCTCTTTAAGCGCAGACTACTGTTGGCAGTGCCTTTGGTTCATCTGTTGTCTTGCCTGGTTCCTGTGAATTTATTTTTCTTGTCTATTGTAAAACATGTAAGATAAGGTGTACAGAATGGAACAGTAAAGCTTCTATGGCAAAATGAAATGCATTTTTGCAATGCTGTAATTTATTTTTACTACTACCTAGTGACTCTCTCGCGTTTTTAAAAAATGTCTCACTTCCAGCTGCTTTTGAGGGTTCTGAAATGACTTGGTCGTATGCAGACAGTGTAACAGACAACAATAAAGCTGTCAGTAATTAAAGGAACCTCTTCAGTTTCTTTTTCTGGCGCCCTCCCATGGAACTTTCATGTATTAAGTCCAAAAGGAAAAGGCAGGAATCCTGCCTAGAAGTGAACTGAAATTTCTTAACCTTACTGTGAAGTGGTTCAAGTTTCAGCTAAAGAGGCACAGAACCTCTGAAACCTGACCCGAGTGTTCCATCAATTTTCTCTTCATATTTTAGCTGGACTTGACAGAAGTGCTGCCATCTACCTGTGATAAACGAGTTAATGTCACTCATTAAAATATATTTCTGTATATAAACCATAAAAATCCAGCTAATAGAATTTATTTGCAGGGCTGAAATGTCTGATACAAATACCTGGAAATATTTAAAAGGGTAAAAGCTAAACCCAAGAAGGTTTTATTTCAGATATACCCAATCTATGGCAGCACACACGGGACTGCTCCAGGACTCTGCTTACATTTCAGTGGAGGTTCCATCACCACGACTTTGCTAAAAGATGAAAAGCAAGAATGTTAAACTAGCCAAAAGCCCCTGGAGCCAGAAGACCAGTGCACCACTAGGAAATTCTGGAAAACATACAGCAGAGGACAAGGCTCGGGGGTTTATTCAGCTTTTTATTTTTATGAAAAATGAACAGCTGGCACAGCATTGTTCCTTGAGTGAATCCTAGACCTTGTAAACCTCCAGGACTCACTTGTGAATGAATAGGGGCTGTACATGATCCTTGATTTGTTGGCAGAGTGATTCTATAAATAATGAGATCTGAGTAATCCTTACAGTAGATGTTTTTTCCTCTTACTTCTTCCGCCCAAGCTTTGGAGCCTTCTCAAGGCCTTGAATGTATTTCCGAGGTAGCTGGTATTCTTCTGCAACACAACCAAGAGTTCACTTCAGGTAAATACTCAGAGCTCAACAATTAAAACCTGGACCTGACTGGAACCAGCTCCAGAATCAACTCTTACCTAGCAGCATCTTGGCCAGATGGTGGATTTGGTTGCCTTGGATCTGGACCTGAACTCTGTCCTTTGCTCCTGGTACTGGGGTGATGGTGGCACTGGCTTGTACTTTTTGTTGCAGGATGTTGGCCACACACTGTGGGTCTAGACCATACAGCTCAAGGTTCTTAATAATTGTCACCTACAGGTTTAAATAATGATTGCAAATGTCACTGCTGTAGCAAGTCATGTCTCATTCATCCCAGACAAATGAGCTGCCAAAGCTGCTCTTGGAATCTGGGCTTCTGCTCACCTCTCCCCCCCTTATTTTACTTCTCCTTTTACCTTTTTATTTGATGATCTCTGTGCTATGGTTATGTCAATGGGCTCAATGTTTCCTTTCCTCACAACAGGGTCTTGGCCAAAAAATGTCACCTGGTGCAAGGGCTGCAGTCGTTCAAGGCACCTGAGCAAAGTGTAAACATCCCATCAGTCCAGAGAGCACAGCCAGGCTGAGGTGAACTGTGCTGCTCACTGCAGCCCCCCCAGGGTTTAGAGACTACATGAAAGCCAAGATTCCACGTGTGAGAACAACCTGTATCTTAGGAAGATAATGTGTGATGAGCTCATGAAAGATCTGCATCCCAGCTAAAGGGACTGACTGAAAAGGAAGCTGGTCTACTGACTCAACAAAATTATAGCTTAGCTTATCACTGGTAAAATTTCATACATCTGTTCTTGTACAGAAAAACCTTTTGTTTTGTCTTTAAGCTGGTGTGCAGTTCTATTGTTCACAGGAGTTTAGAATTCAGCATGAACTGTGTCACTGTCCCAGGAGCAAACTTGGTTCAGAACTGAAGTAAGCTGCTGGAGGTACCTCAGAAGCATCATGTGATGGAGTTCAAGGCAAGTAAGAAATTGGGGATATTTAGGCAAAGTTTCTCTGTATTTGGGAGGAATGTTTTTTTGTCAGGCCTCTTGGATCTAGAAGGTGGGTTGAGGTTATAAATGCAGAAGCTGTGCTGCACATAAAGAGCAGAAGGACTTCTCCTGCCTGGAAAGGGCACGTTCAGCTGCTCTCACAGAGGATGGCTCTGTATGTGTGTGCATACAGATTCCAGTTTAAGAAGCTTTCCCTAATAAATGGCTAGCAAGTAAATAAAAACCCCTTA